CCGGCGTGTGGCGGCGCCCCCCCCCCCCCCCCATGCCCTGCAACCCCTGGACGAGTCACTCATGGCTCTGTCCTGCTTCACACCCCGGCCCCATGCACTTGGCTGGGTGGTACCCCCAGCCCCTGCTCTACTCCCTCCCTCACAGTGGAGGCTTCAATCTGCCCCCCAGTTCCTCTGCCCCCCCATGGTCTTACCTGCAGGGAGCTGCTCTCCACACTGTCTAGCTGTATTCCTAACCACCCCTGGGTTTTTTTCTGCCAGCCTTCAAGGGGAAACCTTATGTTTCCTGATCCCTGCAGGATGCTGAGATTCTGGGACAAATGCTGTTTTGAAGCTGTATATTTAATGTCTTAGATTTCAAGTCCCTTGTGCCAGAAGTTACAGAGCCATTTTCTGAATGTCGCTGTTTCTATGAATTTCTCCATTTGGTAGCCTTCTTTCTCTAACTGTGGCTATTCATGCAGGAAGGCACTGACTATATCCTCCTCATAGCCAGTGCTTCCCCTTACATCTTTCCAAGGCATATTCTAACCTTTTGATGCTCAAAATTAATATGATATAAACCAAAGTTCAGCAGCAAATGAGCGGAAGGATTGGAAAGCCCAGAGCAGCAAGACAGGTCACCAGAACAGGAGACAATGGAAAAAAGTCACCACCCCCCACCCCTAGTCCTGTGCTGGGCGAGGTGGGGGAGAGTCCTGGAGTCAAGTGACTACATTTGAAATGCTAAAAGTTCAGAAACACCTAATGGCAGGCAAGGTTCTTTGAGTAGATGTCATATCTTTTATTAGATCAACTGAGTAGTTGGGAAAAGGTTCTTGGCAAGCTTTCAGGTGCAGTCACCCTTCTTCAGGCAGAAGGAGTCTCTGCTCTTCTGAGACTCCAGGAAATGAAGGAAGCTAAAAGTGTGGCAGGATGTCAGTGAAAATGTAAATAGGTAGAATTAGAAAGACCAAAGGTGAGGCAGAGAAGTGAAAGGGGGGGAGGGGGAGAGGGAAAAAAGGCTGAAGGGAGACAGTGCAGTGATAGAGTAGAAGGTAGAAAAGAGGCCATCGGGCAGGTACCTGGTGAATCCGATGTCAGGCAGGTTGCAATGTGTTGTATAAAACCAATGTCTATATTGAGTCCATGGTTTTTTTGTATCCTGTAGATTCATGAAGTGAAGTTCGTAGGCTTGTCTATGACAGGTGCTTTGTAAATTCCCTTTGCAGATTAGAACTGAGAGATCGGAGAGGGAGTGATTGTCCTGATGCGAGAAGTGAGCACCCGCAGGTAGTTGGGTATTCTCGTCTTTGATGGATTTTTGGTGCGCGTTCATTCTGGTGCATGGTTGTTGTTTGGTTTCTCCAACATATTTCCCCTTGGGACATTTGGTGCACTGGATGAGATATATAACACTTCTGGAGGTGCAGCCAAAACCCCAGAAACACATAATCATACTCAAGTGATTTAACCTTCAGGTAATTTAACAACCTGACTTCCACACTACCCAGATATAATTGAAACATTGTTTATGCGGCTGGACATGACAGCTAGTGGTGATGTCCCCCAGGTTTACAGATCTGGAACAATCTGGCCTTAGGAGAGTCCCCAGGTGCCAAAGAGGCACTATGTGGGGTGGTCCTGAAAGGATTTCCAGCTGTAATCCCAGCCCAAAAGCCAGTTCCTTATTTGAGCCATTATACTTAGTACAGTGGGCATACGAGGCTGTCAGTTGGCAGCCTGGCACGGCCAAACCGTGCTTTGGGCCAGGCAGGACTATGCTCAGTGTTCTCTGGGACAGTCCCCGATGGCAGTGACATGCAGTTAGGGGTTGCCCAATAAATATTTTGCCCCATAATCCCATTCTCATCTGATCTTTATTTAGGGCTCTGTACTTGATGCAGGATATAATTTTACATATTAATCTCTGTATATAAAATGAAATGTCTGTCTGTCTGTCTGTATGTTCACTTATAACTTAAGAATGGCTGGTCCTATCTGCTCTAAACCTTCCAAAATCACTGAATACCACCCAAAGAAAATTATAGGTGGGTTATTTTTCACTTGACCCTTTATGGGGTTTCCACTGACTGGGATTACTTTGCTTCTCAGATAACAAACTGGCACCACCCCATTTTAGATGCAGTGAAGTCATTTCAATTGTCATTATTATATTGACGCTTGCCTTTTTTCACTCCACATTAAATATTAAAGTTTAAATATGTTGTAGTGCGTTTTTAAATAAATAAACAATATTTTTTACCTAAATATGAGGCACTAAGTTATTTGAAAATGAACAGGCAAGGTTCTTTGAGTAGGTGTGATATCTTTTATTAGACCAACTGGGTAGTTGGAAACAAGTTCTTGGCGAGCTTTTGAGCCCAGTCACACTTCTTCAGGCTTAGGGAGCCTCTGTTGGTTTGAGACTCCAAGAACAGCAGGCTCCTTCTGCCTGAAGAAGGGTGACTGGGCCCGAAAGTTCGCCGAGAACTTGTTTCCAACTACTGTAGTAAAAGATATCACATCTACCATGAGTGATTCCTGCCCCGACAGCTGTGGGGCACAGTGGTGGTGGGAGCGCGGCTGTGGCGGCAGGAGCAGTGGGGTTCCCGCAGACGCCGCTTGCGCTGTCGGCAGTGGGATGGGTGGTGAGCGCCGACCAAGGGTCAGTGACCACCCACAGCTGCTGCCAGCAGCATTGGTGGCAGCCAGTGGGGATCGCGGGCTGCTTGCAGATGCTGCTGGCGGTGGCGGTGGCAGGGCAGTGAGCGGGGACCGCCTGCAGGCGCCAGCGACACTGTCATCTTTTTGCAGGGTGTTCACCGCCATGCTCACAGGGTGCACATGCATTTGCGTGCACCCCCTACGCATTGCCCCTGCTTGATTTAATGAAAGATATCACATCTACCCAAAGAACCTGGCCCACCTCTCTCCTTGGACCAACACGGCTACAACCAGCAACCCTTCAAAACAAACACCGCAGTTACAAAAATAACCGCGGGGGAGAAGGGCCCTTCAGCCAGTCAGTAAATGCAGCAGCTGACGAAATCCCCTCTCTTTAGACTGTGTAAGTCATGAATAACACGTGCTTGCCGGGTACGGGTCCGGGCTGAAAAAGGAGCGGGGAGGAAGGAAGCAAGGAGAGCTGCAGGAGCCGGCTGTGCGCGGCCCGACCAACCTGCGCGGCGCGGCTCTGC